AAAAAATAATATTGTTACAACAGTTATACTGCCTATAACTTATCTAATGTAAATATTATTCAAGTAACCAGGAATCTGTATCTAAAAAAATAATATTGTTATGTTACAATTCTGCCTATATTCAACGATTTAAACTTTACTTAAGTACATAAACATTTCTTTCCAAAAAGTGTATATTATACATCATAATAGCGTTTATATTTATTTATATATACATTTCATATATTTATCTAATATAAATTTTACTCAAGTTCAAACCCAGTTGTTCCTAAAAAGAAGATATCTATCATATCTTGTAGGGGGCGTGCATAAGCGCACCAACGTGCCTACCGTCCCTGTCCTATTGTTTCTTTTATTTTTCTTATATGTACCCATTTCGTGTATTCATAACTATGTATATACTTATACCTATTATCTTGTAAGCAATTGACAAATCAAATAAAAAATAATAATAATAATAATAATAAATATCTATCATCTATCTTCTCTAAGTAAATAACTATAACTATATATAACTGTATATATGTACGTATGTATGTATGAATGTATACACACACACACACACACACACACACACACGCTGCACTGAACGCTGCAGCAGAGCAAAAAAGGGGAAATATAAAATGATAAATATGATGTTATAGTTGAAGTCCTCTCCAGAGAAAATTTCCCTTTATTTCCAAGGCAAAGGTTGACGGGGAGTCCTCGCGTTTACAACCACAACGGAGCCTGAAATTTCTGCTGCTAAGGCCAGTTGTTAAGTGAGTTTTGTGAACTTTCTTGCCACGGTTGTTAAGCAAATCACTGCAGTTGATAAGTTAGGAACATGGTTGTTAAGTGGATCCGGCTTCCCCATTGACTTTGCCTGTCGGAAGGTCGCCAGAGACCGTCATAAATGTGAGTCAGTGCCTGGATTTTGATCACGTGACACGGGAATGCTGCAATGGTCGTCAGTGTGAAAAAACCCAGTCCTTGTTTCAGTGTCGTTGGGGTTGGACTAGAGGACCTCCAAGGCCCCTTCTGACTCTGTTATCCTGTATTCAGAACTCCAGAGATTCAAAGAACCATAAAGTGATATAACCGACAGGTTGAAGGTTGTAAAACCATCTGTGTTTATCTAAAAGAGCCATAAAGCAAACGGAACAAACTATGCTCTCTGACACAAAGAAAATAAAAATTAGATCATAGGGGCAGAGAGAGAAAGAGAGAGGGAGGGAGGGGGAGAGAAAGAGAGAGAGAGAGAGAGGGAGGGAGAGAGGGAAAAAGACCCAAAAAGAGAACAAAGAACCCTAAAAAAAATCACCAGGGTTTGGAGGGGACCACAAAATAAAATAAAGTCATGTTTTCATCAGCTTGAGTTTTATAGTTTTAAAATGATTTGATGTGTCTTTTAAGTTTTGATTGTCAGGCACCCAAAATTGATTGAAAAAATTGGGTGGATGAGTGAATGAATGAAGGAGAAGGAAGAAAGGAAATGAAAGAGGAGAGGAAAGGAAAGGAAGGAAGAAAAAAAGAAAATGGGAGGGCAGAAGAAAGGAAGAAAGGAAAGGGAAGAAAGAGAACAGGAGAGGAAAGGAAAAAAGAAAGGAAGGAAGGAAAAGAAAGAGGAGGAGAGGAAGGAAAAGAAAGAATGAAAGAATTAATGAATGAATGTGGGAGGGTGGAAGGAAGGGAAAGAGGAGAGGAAGAGAAAAAAAGAAAAACAAAGAAAGGAAGAAAGGAAGGAAAAGAAAAAGGAGAGAGGGAAGGAAGAAAGACAAGGAATAAATAAGTAAATAAATACTGAAAACACCCCAGTGATGATGGTGGAAATGGTGGAACACCTCCACCATTTCAGGAGGTCCTTATTAGCGATATACACATTTTTCCTTTTTATTTGCAATCTTGGAGGTCTCAGTAAAGTACAGATCTAATCCCCACCCCCGGCAAACAACCCTGTGAGGTAGACCAGGCTGATGTTGCACGACTAACACCACACCACAGGGCCGAAGGAGACGGGACCCGTTCGCATCTGCCGCCCACCAGACAACCACAATTCCATTTCCAAAACTTCGGCCCGTCCTGCAAATGGAAAACGTGGCCGTGATCAATAAAAGACATTCTTGCTTCCTTCAAGAGGAGGCCTTAATTCTCGGCGCTTCTGACTGCCAACAAAAAGTAGGAAATTGCCATTTGCACCAGATTCAAAGGGTGCTCGGAAGACAAAGCGAGGCAAAGTTTGTCTCGTTCTTGTTTTTGTTTTTTTTTTAAAAAAAGACCTGGTTCAGCACACATAAGTTGGATTCACACAACGCTCGAGACCAGCTCACTGGAAAACCTAGCATTCCCTGCGCCACACAAAGCTGGTTTAATGTCGGTTAAGCTTGCGGCAGCTTCACAACACCGGGGTTCTGCTGCCCTAAGCCAACTCAGGTTTCCGATCCCTTTTAGGGCTTAACGGTCCCAGAAATGCAGACTTACATACTGTTTGGGTATCCAACCTCCAAGCTGACCGTGCCAATTGTTCTGGGCCGGACACCCTTGTCCCCCGGGCTTGCTCTGACCGGCTTCTTTGGTGCCATGGCAAAAATCCCTGCTTGGTTTTCCTAGCCGGGAAGGAACTCCAGAAATCTTGGATTGAGAATCATAGAGCTGAATTCGAGCGGCGACAAACCCCGGCGCCACAGTCAGCTCCCGGCCGAAGGGCTCGTCCAGTAGGTGTTGGAAACGGGCGTAATGCAGCACCGGCCACTCGCTGTGGGTTGGAAGGTCCCACCTCCTCCACTTGGGCCCAAACATGGCCGGGTCCTTTTAATCCCGCGGGATTTTCGACGAAGGGATTTATAGTTCTAGAGTCCAAACAGTTGGAAAGCAAATGGGCCTTTTTGAAAGTTGCACCCTTGAGCTCTGAATCCGAACTCAGCCGAGGGGGAGAACCCAAAAGATCTTTAAGTGGGGAGGATGATGGGTTTGAGCACCCTTGTTTTACTCAAAAAGGCATCCGGCAGAGTAGAGACAGAGGAGAGTAGATCGGCTGCAAGACTACGAGACGTCTGGCCTTGCAAAGACCCGGTGGATGCAGGCGGAGTACAGATTTGCAAACGGGCACCAGGCTGGCAAGGTGTTGGCACTTATAATCGACTCCAAAGGTCGGGATCTGGAGCAGCCACAGGGATCTGATATACGCCCATCAATCAATCAAAAAATTTATTTACTGTCCAAATTATAGGAACTGAATAGGCTCACCTAAGAGACAACGACAAGTAACTTCTGAATTTTTCTTTCTCTCTTGCACTAGATTGTAATTTTCGTCCTTTTGGCTTGAATCACAAATAACCAGAAGTCTTTTAAGTAAGTAGACCAGAGGTCCCCAAACTTGGCAACTTTTAAGACTTGTGGACTTCAACGAGTCTTAAAGTTGCCAAGGTTGGAGACCTCTGAAGTAGACAATAGGCTGAACTGTAATATTTAAGCCCAGCCCCAAAATGTTGTAGGACGTCATTAGGAGTTCTAGCACAGGGCAAGCAAAAAGCTCTGGTTTTAAAATAAAATAAAATAAAATAAAATACTAAATCTGAATCAAAAACAAAGGTTAAAAATAAAAGTAAGCATAAATGAAAAACAAGTGAAAAATAAAATTAGACACAATATAAAAGTAAAATAAAATTAAATATTAGTTAAATATAAATTAAATATTAAGTCAATAAAAATAAAATTAAATAGTTAAATATAAATTAAATATAAAGTCAATAAAAATAAAATTAAATATTAAATATAAATAAAAGATACAATTAAAGATATTAAATATAAAATAAAGATAAATTTAAATATACTAAAAATAAAAATAAAAATTAAAAATAATATAAATTAAGAATCAAATCCAATATAAATTGAAAATAAAATATAAACTCAAATTAAAAACTCAAATCAAATATACAATAAAAATCAAATCAAATTTAAATTCAAAACAAAACTACATCTCGAGTTGAACTCTGGGGCCCATCATCCATTTGAGTAATCCTACGGAACTGAATTGTCATGGCTTTCTTTTAACCTCCTAGCCTGGTTCTCAATTCAGGGATCTCCTGTTGGTCTTCCATCCCAGCATTAACCCACTTCCTGCCAGTTTGCCAGGATCAGCCAAAGTTGGTTGTGTGCTGCCACCTGCTGGCTGGCGGTAATAAATAGGCATAAAGAACAACCTTCCTTTCTGGTTTGGTTCCTGCTCTAAAGTCCACAAGTGGAGAAGTGATGTCATCCTGTTTGTTCAGTACAAAGAAGGTTTTTCTCTCAGGTAGAAGCCAAGTTCAACCAGCACGTCCCTTTCTGTCACGGTCGTTGAAGGAACAGTCGTAAAACGAGGACTACCTGTATGGCTCACCCTCATTGCTCTCTTTCCAACGAAGCTAAACGGATTACTGCCACCCATGGTTTCCCTCCCACCATTTTGTTATTTTCCAACTTGGGACCGATTGTGATAATCTGAAACATGACCTAGTCAGTTTCACCACATTGGTAGAAATTCCCAGCTTATTTTTTCTGGCTGGTAGAGCAATTTGTTAACCTTGGCAACCTGAGCTGGACAGAAGTCATCCTGAAATGTTGGGTAGATCTCGGCCTGATAAGGGAACAACATCCAGACAAGGTAGTCCGTTCCCCCAGACAGCAGCCTTGAATGCAGCTCCTTCTCCCAGTCCCCGATCCCTCTGCTTCTGGACACGGGGAGCCACCCCACCCCTGTCCCCCAACTCACCCCAACATCTGTGCTCTCCCGGCGAAGGGAGATTTGCTCCAGTCGATCCAAAGACGGGGTGGCAAGGAAGGAGGGGCTGATGCCCGCTGGGCGCAGGATGGGCAAACTCAGGGATTTGCTGTCCTTCACCCCCTCTTCCACCTTGAGATCGTTCCCTGGTTTGGCTGAAAAAGAGGGGGGGGGGAAATAACGTGGTTTACGTTGAACCACTTATCAGCGGCCTAATTTGGGTCCTCATCCTACTCCGTTCTCCAAGCAGCTGCCCCTCTGGATCCATCTCAGGTGGAAATAATTCAACATTGTGGCGACATCGTTTCTTCCGGCATGGTGAAACTGACTAGATCACGTGCCTGTTTGGGCGAAAATGGGGAAACATCGACGCGGCGGGAGAGAAATGATGATTGGCAGCCCTTGGCGACATCCCTCTGCCCAGAAATAGGCTGTCAAGCCATCGTTTCTCTCCTGCCGCCTGGATATTTTCCATTTTTTTGCGAGGGGGTGGGGTGGGGGAGGGTGGCAAACAGGAACGTGATCTAGTCAGTTTCGCCACACCCAGGAAAACGTCCAGCTTGATTTTTCCTCCCTTTTGTAAAGCAAACTTTTGTCAAGACTTGGAAGTTGGGCGGAATTCAACTCCCGCAATTCTGGCTGGGGAATTCTGGGAGTTGGACGCCCAGCCTGAGCGACCCGTCATTAAGGTGGATCAAATCCCGGTGTTTTACCTTTCACCCGCAGGTAATGTCCTCCGAAGTGATAGGCTTCGAAGTTGAGCGAGAGCGGGGTGTTAGACTGGTCCAGATAAATGTTTACTTTCGACAGATCGATGCCTTTCCGTTCGAAGACCGGAAACAAAACCTCCCTGCGTTGTTCAAATGGGGATAAAAGAAGAAAAAACCAGGCCAAAATTCAACGGGGGGGGGCAGCGCTCAACAGACGGACATCCACCCCCAGAGAAGATCAGGCTCAAAATTCCCGTGTGAAAATGTGCATTTTTAAATTATTACTTGAAATGTATGAATGTATTAATTCTACTTATTGCCGATTTATTAAGTAATGGATGCATATTTTTATCCACCATGAATCAACTAATTAGAGTCATTTTGATAGGAGATGGTCGGCAAATAAATATTTATTTTATGTAGGAAATGTGCAGGCAGTTCCTCGACTTACGACGGCAACTGGGGCCAAAATTTCCGTAAGGCCAATTTGTTGAGCAAATTGCATCTCATTTTACGACCTGTTTTGCTTTCCCTCCCCCCCGTGGCTGAGTGCCATCACTGCCGTCGTTAAGTTAGTAACAAGGTCATAAAGTGAACCCAGCTTTCCTGTGGAGCTTTGCCTGTCGGTCAAAGGTCACCAAAGGGGCTCACTGAGACCGTCGTAAAGGCGAGTCGGTTGCCAACAATTTTTAATGCTGCAACAGTCGTTAAGTGTGAAAAACGGTACAAACTCCCTTTATTTTCCCCCCAGTGCCGTTGTAAGTTTGAACGGTCGCTAAGTTGAGGACTAGCTGTAGAATCATTGGGAAATATTTGACAGGGACCTGCACCCACACGGAAACTATTCTCACCCTAAAGATTTCTTCTTCATTGCTGGGGCGATCTCCGTTTCGACGTCCACGTTCAAATCAAATTTCAGAGTGAAATATTCCCTGCTGGGATCCTGGAGAAGAAATATAACTTTTTTAAAAAAACAAAAAAGTTGGCGAGTTAGGGTTTTTAACATATTTTATAAGTGGGTTTTTAAAGTAGTTTTCTTTAAAAAACAAAAAAAGATGATGTCTCCACAGATTTGTTTAGCAGAGTGTTTTGCGAACGTGGTCCCTTTAAGACGGGGTGAACTACAACTCCCAGAATTCCCCCAGCTGGCTGGGGGAATTCTGGGAGTTGAAGTCTACCCGCCTCACAGCATCCCACTTTGAGAAACAAGCATTCAGCGTGGATTTAAATTTAAAACGATCTGCTTTTTTTATAGGCGACTCGGAAGCTGAAAGATTCCCTTGACCATCTGGTTGATGGGCGACGGCCGTTACAGGAGGAAGAATCGGTCTGAGCAAGGGGGTTGGACTGGATGACCTCTGAGGGGATCCTATCGATTTGACAATCTTGTGAGAGTTGCAGTTGGGCCTCTGGATCCCGTTCAAATGTTGCTAAGCGGTTGGGCCGTTAAGTTGAGGACCACCTAGATAGCTTCTGGATAGAAGCAAGATACGATCGAAGCCTTACGTCCGTGTGCCGCCTTGTTCCTTTCTTGGGCTTTCGAACTAAGTTTCGTTTTTCTCTGCAAGAAACAAGGGAGAAAACAAAATTGGGGTTACAAAACACAGCCTGTCTCTGCCCACCTGTCATGCCCCTGTTGGAGACTGACTCCGAGGGAGAGGAGGAACAGCCGACAGGGAGTGGAAGTGTGGCTCCGAGGTTGTGGAGGAGGCTGGGGAAGGGCAGAGGCTCACCCAGGCCCACCCCCTCTCCATCCTAGGGCACGCAGGGAGGAGACGAGAAGGGAGAAATGTGAATGGCATGGTCTACGGGGGAGGAAAGGGCCTTGATACAATTCATGGGCTGCAGCTGTGACAACTGGCTAAGAGGATGGACATGCGTATGGGCCAGTGCTGGAAACAAAGCGTGGAAATATATCTGGTTTATGGTTCCTCTCTGAGTTTGGCATCCTTCCCAGTGTGTGTTCTGTTATCTGTGGACGTCCTCCAGCCCTTATCTTGCCTGGTTTGTGTTGCTTTTTTCCTTCTTCTTGTAACTGTTTGTGTGGGAATTTTTTGTCTTCCGTCAAGGATATTCAGAGCTTGGAACCAAAGTGAAGGAATAAAAGGGGCTTCACTGTTTTCTGTGACTGTGTTTGTTTGGTATCTCCACCCTGGGTCATCACACCACCTGACTGTTCCTCCCAAAACAGGGATGAAAAAGAATGTGGGGTATTCCCCCCCCCCCCCAGGATCTTTCCATTCCTTCTGAAAGCTAGCTCTCCGGGAAATGAGATGCTGACAAGCTAGCTTTCTGAAGTGTGGGGATGTTGGCTGAATGGCTCTTCTCTACACTCACCCTCTCCCGTCAATCAATGGCTCGCCATCCTCTTCCACATCGGAGGCCGGGCTAGTGCGTGGCGGGCAGGACCGGGTGGAGACGTTACGTGCCAGGATAGACCCTGAAGACAAAGAGTTATGGGGCAGTTAGTCCCTGCATTGGGACTCGGGAGTCCCGTTCACACATTCCTCCTCCCTTGGAGAGATTCCCTATCCAGCCACATGTCTTTGGATGCTCTTTTATTTTATTCCTAAAAAGGCTTTTCAGGTGCCACGAACGGTGGCTCGTGTCTTCCGAGGCATAGGCAGAATTCTGCATCAGGTGCAAATCCTGCATCATATAAATTGGCATCTCTACATCAGTGTTGCTCAACCTTCCCTACCTTAAGATGGATGGACTTCAACTCCCAGAATTCCCTGGTGATAATGCTAAAGGAATAATAATAATAGTAATAAAATAAATAATAAAATAAAATAATAATAAAAATGATAAAGGAATCTTTGGATGTGCATGCCTATGGCATGCCTGCTTACTCTCTTTATAATCCCTTCCTCTGCAATCTTTCTATCTCTAGGAAGATAGAAAACGGGCATGGCTGGCTGGGGGATTCTGGGAGTTGAAGTCTTAAAGCATCCAAGGTTTATTTATTTGTTGAATTTATTTGCTGTCCATCTCGTAAATTTACGATTCTGGGCGGATGGGTTGAGAAACACTGCTCTCTTTTGTCCCTTAAAACCACTTAATATTTTGACAAATCGATAAACAAAGGGTGCTGTGGGTGAGAGAACCAGGCCCAGTTCTGGCCCAGGGAGCCTCGGGCGGTCACCTGGAGGTGGAAGGTCGAAGCGGATATGTCGGTCAAAGTGCATCGCCCTGTGGATCTGCCCGTCACACTCCTCACACAAGTGCAGAGGGCCGTGGTGGTTGAGCTGCTCACATTTGGCGTGGTGACAGACCTGGAGAAGGAGGCAGAGGAGAGGAGGGAAGATGGCAGCTTACGAATGATAATCCTCCCAAGGCAGTGGGAAGCGGAGGGGGGGACACGACTTATTTTGAGACCATTTTCCAAATTCTGGGAGCTGAAGTCCACAAGTCTTAAAGTTACCAAGTTTGGAGTCCTCTGGTGTAGACTCGACAACAATTGCCCAGTGTGAAAAATGGTCGCCAGCCACGGTTTTCAAGATCCACTTAAAACAACAGTTTTGACTAATTTAAGGACTGCGGCGATTCACTTAGCAACTGCAGCAAGGAAGGTCGTAAAATGGGAAGGGGGGGGAACCTGCTTAAGAAAGGTTTCACTTAGCAACAGAAATCTTGGGCTAAGTTGTGCTTGAGGACTGCCTGTAAATAAAATAATATAAAATATGCCAAGATCAAGATACAATTTGATTTTAATACAAAAAACAAAACACAAAATATAGCACAGCACAGCAGAACATAACATAACACACATAACACAATAAAATGCAATATATTATATATATATATGTGTGTGTGTGCGTATATATACACATTATAATATATATAATATACATATTATATATACATATACATATACATATACATATACATATACATATACATATACATACATACATACATACATACATACATACAT